GTGAGACATTTGACGATACAATATCCCGATATTTCGGTTATTGTTACATCCCTACTAAGAATAGACTTGATACTCAGTAAAAGCACTCTTTATTTGGACAATAGAATGTGATTTTCAACATTAAATCATAGTATTTTCTTCTGTATACTCATGTGGCCTTATATCATGGGTGTATACTAGTCTATGTGCTCTTATACTGGTTCTGATAGAGCTTAAGATCATTCTAAAGACATTCAGAAAACGTTCATTTCTGTCCTATTTCTGTCCCGTGAATGTGACTTTTTTAGTATCGATACCAGCTCAAATGAGTATCTAGAATTGATACTAGTTTTAGTATCGATTAGTATCCAATTTCAGGTACTTTTGAAAAACCTAGGACCCACCAGATAGCTTTACATCTAAGACGAAATGGCAAAAAATAAGACCAGTACTTGTTCTTGGAGTAGTATTTTACTTTCTGGGAGCAATTTTCTATAGATGAGAAAATTTACCTGGCAAATTTTGTTGAGCTCTCGAGCCAACTCCATAATGAACAACTGACTTTCCAACAGCGGCTCCTTCTTATCAAGCTTCACTTTCTTGCGTGACTCCTGCAGCCAAAAAAATACAATCATCACTGACCAAAACCTGACCGGTCTCCATAGCAACCTTGATCCCATACTGATACCTTAAGTCGGATTTTCAGCTTTTTGGCCGGCTCTATTAGAAAATGCAGGCATTCCCTTATCATGTCGACTGCTGGAGGTTGAAACGAAAGCCTGTGGTGCAGAAAACAATCGCCTTAGCAACTTGGCACTAGTTCAGTCACAAGCTAGCACAAATTTTATGAGAAAGCTCTGCACTTTTAAGCACACCCAAGCATTCCCAAACCCAGGGGAGTCATTACGATCCACCTTGATAGCTTGGGGTTGTAGAAGCGATCTAGAGTGACAAGATGCGCAGTAAGTTTTCCTCTCCAAACATGTGTGGGTTGATGGGAATTAGACAGTATTCCGAGGAGATCTGAGGCAGCAGCAGTGGTGGGCTGCTCTAGTGTTGAATCAGCAGTGCTCGGTGCCAGTTAGATGCACTTGGAGAGATGTACGGATCTTTTTGAAAGCCGTGCCAAGTCTCTGCCTGCTACTGACACTGCTGTTGCAAGGGCTATTTGTTTAAAGGGCCTTGATCTATTTGATTTGAAGTTATTCTTGTCAAGATAAATGCTCTTTACATCTTGCACTGCATGATAAGATGAAAATAGACAAAATTATATTCTATTCATTCAACATAGCATTTGATATGGTATTAACTGATACAGAAACTGCACACAGGGCACTTTTTTGTCCAATCAGGTGCACAAGGAATCATGGGGAATTAACTGCCTGACACGATCCCACACAGTTGATTCTGGTACAGGCCCTTTAGTAGGCTATTTGAGTCTGTATCATGACACAGAAACAACCATCATGCAGTTGGTTTCTTACAGTTCTCCAATCTCTGCTACTATTTGTTTTTATGTACAGGGTGATCAGACATCCCTATTTACCCGGGACAGTCCCAGTTTTGAGCCCTGTGTCCCCTGTTCCAGTAGATTTGTCCAAAATTACAGATTTGTCAGAGTTTTATAAAAGAAATGTCCTAGGTGTCCCTATTCTTGACCAATATGATACCTGGCAACAGTAAAGAGAGGCATAAATTGTCACTTGTTTAGGTAAAATACAGAAAGACTGCTTAAAATGACCAAAACACAAAGAAAATGTGACAATACTGGCTCACGTTAGTCCTGAATGTCATGAATGGGCTGAGTGCAGAACAATTTTCCTTAATTACACACTCATTTTGCAGTTTTATTATTACGAGCCACTCCAAACTAAGGGTGTCCCAGTTTTTGATCTTGAAAATCTGCTCACCCCATTTCATGTCTTAAAATTGCACCATGACAAAAAATTGTGTCTAGGAACAATGTGCCTGATTTTAAGAAAATGCTGTGAATACATAAAAATCCAGTCTCTTTTTTCTTATTTAACAACTTTTACCATACAATGCATGATGTAAAGTTGACAAGAACACATCAAATTAAGTACAGGTCCCTTTGTTGGGGGAATTAAACTAGAAAAAAAAAAATACAGTGATATCTGAGTAACCCTTGTTTATGATTAGTGAGGGTGTGCATGACATGTGAAAAAGAGAAAGGGAACATACAGCTTTAGACTTAAACTTGTTAGATAATTAACTAGATACACTACCTTACTAGCAAGATCAGTAGCATCTTCATAGAAACTTCACTTTATTGGATGTGTTCATTGATAATGTCTTTATGCTGTGATTTTAAACTAGCTAGGCTGAATTTTTACTGATTTAACGCGTGGCAACAGAATAAAAAGACAAGAAGTCGTGTGTGCTTGTAAGATTAGACAGAAAATCCTAGATTAGCGTGGGCGCCATTGGTGGTAAACTGTTCCCAGGTAGGTGGTGACTATTTTGGGACTAGCAGACCAAGCAGCCATTTATGTCATCGTGAAAACAAACTGCAAGAACACAATGCAGGCTACACTTGTAATGGTTGACACTTTTAGGTTGAACAGGCTAAATACTGCAACAATTATTTTTGCTAAACTCGGAGAAGACTGGAAAAAAGACCGCCATTCCCCCCTGCACACGCACATTTATAGAATACCCTAATGACGTACAGGTGGATGACAACGTTTGATTGACGGTCTAGTAGTTTATGTCATGCAAAAAAAAATTAATAAATAGAAAATAGCATTACCTTGAAAAACGATGTTATTCGAGCAGAAATAACTCCAATCTTGATTTACTTAAAAAAAAATCTGTTATTATTTTTACAGCTTCGGTTTCGCGCCACGCTCTTCTTTGATGCGCCGCTCCTACAAACAAACTGCAGCACGAGAGGCAGGGCGCGCGCTCTTATCCACAGCCTCGCGCCTCATAAAGACACAACAACAGCGAGTTACCGCGAGAGGACGCCATAGCTCCTCTGGATTAAAGATGGAGCTGGTGTTTTATGGTGACAGGTTTTTGGACTGCTTTCTTAATGCAGCAAAGTGTAAACATCAGCCCTTATTTAGGCCTCCTTTTAAAAAATGCATTTCAACAGTACGTTATTAGTCTTTATCAATATCATTAGCCGGGTTTGGACTCCTGCAATGGACATCTAGTTTACAGAGAGAAGCAGGGTAAGGTTTTTTGACTATTTACCCAGGACAGTCCCAGGTTTGAGCCCTGTGTCCCCTATTCAAAACCAGTGATTTGTAACAGTTTTATACAAGAAAGCTCCCAGGTAACCCTATTTTGGACCAATTTGATCTAAACCAGGACTATATCAGGTCTATTTCAAGTCTAAACCAGGTCTGAACTAGGGCTATAATAGAACTATATCAGATTTATTTCAGGTGTAAACCTGGTTTAAACCAGGACTATATCAGTTCTATTTCAGGTCTAAACCAGGTCTGAACTAGAGCTATAATAGAACTATATCAGATCTATTTCAGGTGTAAACCTGGTTTAAACCAGGACTATATCAGGTCTATTTCAGGTCTAAACCAGGTCTGAACTAGAGCTATAATAGAACTATATCAGATCTATTTCAGGTGTAAACCTGGTTTAAACCAGGACTATATCAGGTCTATTTCAGGCCTAAACCAGGTCTGAACTAGAGCTATAATAGAACTATATCAGATCTATTTCAGGTGTAAACCTGGTTTAAACCAGGACTATATCAGTTCTATTTCAGGTCTAAACCAGGTGTAAACTAGGGCTAAACCAGGACTAAACAAGTTCTATTTCAGGTCTAAACCAGGATTAAACTTGGGCTAAAATAGGACCATTTCTAAACCAAAGGAGCATAAATTGCATTTGTTTAGCCAAAATACAGACTGTGCTTCTGTATTTTGTCTCAGATTATACACTGACCGACACACTTTTTCAAAAATGTTTTATAACCAACCCAAAATTCCCAGTTTTTAATTTTGAAAATCTAGTCACCCTAGTCAGGAGATGTTATTTGCATGAAAAAAATACATAATAAGCTAAAAGCTTATACATAGAATTACTTAGCCTAGCTGTATTCCTTCTTAGTGAGTGGAGACACCTGTCCCCTGAAAATCATTTTAGTTATGCGTTTACATTTTCTCCATGCCCCATAGTTCTACATTCAACGTGTCCCTCTTTTTTTTATTTTTTATTTTTTAGCTAAGGTGTTCACCCTAGATAACCTTTAAAATTTCAAGCGTTACCCACGTGACATCTTTGATTTTCAACCAGCGTGACGGGAACACTCCAAACTGAGTGAACTAATCCACGTAGATATTTAATGAAGACTAATTTTGAGTATCTTTTTTTTTTGTTAGTGTTTTAGTTGCTGTTGTTGTTGTTCTTTAAAGTTATTTTGTTGACAGTTTAATAACATCAAACTAAACGACTGAAAAAAAAAAAAGATTCAAAAACACAGCATTACATAACCTCCATGAACACACCCTGAGCCTGTTCCAACACCTGCCTTTAGAGGTCGCCCCCACTCATCTCGAGCCGCTCCTTGCATGCCCCTGTAGATTTCTATATTATCTGCTGCTGTCAGTGAGTCACCGGCACAGGGCAGACTCGCACCAATACATACTGTGCAAATTATAACGCCATCATGACGCTGTGGACAGTGCGCACGGCTGTTTGACCGTTCCGCTGCCGTAGTCCGTGCGTCCAGCTGCTGTGAGGGGAAACGTGCGTCGGTATGGTTGTGGGGGGAGGAAGCAGCTGATCCACCGTGTTCACCGCTGTGCACCGCTGTTCTATATGTCACCTGAACTGGGGCTTTTCTGAGGAACAACAACATGGCCCCCAAAGACCCTCTCCTTGGTACTCTGAAAGGTAACACTACATCATCTTTTCTATCACATACTTGCAGGTATTTCTGAAGTGCAGTGTCTTATTTGTTTGCATGTTCCAGTGTGTGTGTTGAACCTCCAGTCGAATGGGCAGACCGTGACAGACAGCAGCCCGCACCTGTCCTCCTGCTGTGAGCTGCTGGAGCTGGTCCTGAGGAAAGGGCTCCAACGTGAGTAGGCCTACTGAAGGGTGGATCTAGGCTAATCTAGGGAAATGGTGTAATGCATGCACCAGTGATAAGAATGAAAGGACAGTGCCACTGTATGAGCCAAAGTGTGTGTTCACTAATACCAGTAGCCCGAGAATATTTTTTCTAGACTTATGCTTTGTTAATTACACCTGCAACGTACATTTGTAAATAAAATACCACATTTAAATTCAAAGCTTGTTGTTAGTTATAATCAGGACTGTATTGTTCGTAACAGTAGGTAGGCTACAAGACCTAGGCCTGTCAAAATATCACATTTGAATATAGGAATATTGATACTTAAAATGCTGCAATAATTTTGAAACTACTGTGCTTAATTACCATCTGTAATGAGTTTTTGAAGTTACTTATTCAAACCCCTACATCTAAAATGTGATAGTATTAAACAGCAAAAATGTCCCTACCAGTCCAGAGGTAAGGTAAACATGGTAAATATTGAGCTGGTTAAAATATGGTTCGATCTATCATTTAGGCTATAGAATGATAAGTTGATAGTATTACTGTGACAGGTCTAACTAGACAAATTATAATTTTTGGCTGGATAATTAAATGTATAATTTAAGGCAAAATACAGAAGGCTAGAATTTGTAGTTATGAGCTGACTTCAGGATATTTACATATGACAAACAAAAAAACACTCTCCCCTGTAGATCTCAATCTGTTTGTTCGTTTTCAGAACCAGTTCTCAGTCTGGTCCAGCGGGACTACTGGCAGTGCCTGGAGCAGATCCCACTGCATGACACCTGTGGCAGGTGGGGTTCTGCACCCAGTATCAACCATGCTCTGAGCTAACCAGAGCATCAATGATCTCTCCTCATGTGTTTGTGTGTGTGTTTGTGTGTGCAGGTTGTCTGCTGTGTCCCTGGCTGTGGAGCAGACCAGAGCCTGTAAGAAGCTGCTGTCCGCTCAGGGCAGAGGGCGCTACCTCCTCAGGCTAGCACTGAGCCGCAAGATACTGCCACAGTTTATCAACCACCTGCTGCACACGCCCAGAATACTCGAGGTCAGACACTCTCCCTTTGTTATACTCTTTGTACTATACTCAGTCAGCTATGACTGGACAGTTCATCACATTTGAATGGCGTTCCACATTCAGTCATCTCTGGTCAATGATCAGCTTGCCTTTTTTTACTGGAGAGTTCCACAGCCAATCCTCTGTCAGTAAGAGCATGAGGTCTGGAGCAGATGCAAGATTCTGGCAAAAGAATATAGACTTAGTGAAAGACTATAATAAGAACTGCACACAAGGCCTATCATGATATACTGACTCATTCATTCATTCATTAAATGCCAGATAGAACAATACTCTTTGGGGGTCAATATTTATCATGGGCACATTTTCTTTGTACTAGTGGGATTTAAAAAAAATATATTATTTTTCTGTACTATGATACTGTAGAGGGTTGAAGAAATAACTTCTATGACTCATCACAGACACAATCTAACTACATTTAGAATAGATTTTTTAATATTATTGTTTAGCTTTTATATTTTCTTCAGCAACATTTAAAATGTGTTATCATGACAGATCTACTGCACACCTCATGATCTGAAACTTGTTTTGCTTTGCAGTGGTACTGTCCCACACTCTCTATTATCAGGAATGAGGAATTCTTAGGTGAGTGTTCTTATCTTAATGTATTGCCCTGCTCTGTAAAGACAATATAAGCCCATATACTCAGTGTCTTGCTCTCCTCCAGAACCATTCATGTCCCTGCTGTTGGTCCTTTCACACATGGACTACAAATTGGATATGGAGGTGGGTGCTAGTCACAGAACGGCATTAGTTTGAGTCCTTCCTTAAAGGCCCTATATTACACAAAATTGACTCTTGTGAGCTTTAATCCATGTTATAATGTTGTTTCATTCAGATGTGTTTGAGTAATCCTTGTTTATTAGTCTGTCTGCATCTCCAAACCTCAAAATGCTCTGTTCCTCCTGTGATGTCATGAAGCAGTAGTTAAGTTAACCACTTCTTTCTACCCTTTATTTTAGTAGAGACTGGCAACACCAGAGCTGGAATAATCATTCTTCTAGTGAAGGAAATGTAGTTTTAACACACAGTGGAGCACTTCCTGTATTATTACATGACATCACAAGGTGGAACAGCGTGATATCAGTTTGAACAAAGAACTCAGCCTGAATATGCAGATGAGGAAACAACATTATAACATAGATCAGAAAATAGCATAATATGGACCCTTCAAAGATAATGATAATAAGCACATTGTGTTATGTTTTCAATAACAGAATTGCAGTTTTCTGGATGAGAGCTGGCTCCTACCTGTAAGAAACACAATTATATTATTTTATCATACATCAACCTCCATTTACTAAAAATAAGCATATGTAGAATCCTTTCATCATTTTGATTTTGATATTTACTCACATCAAACACGTATAGTCTACATTTGCAAGTACATCAAAACATATTTCTATTACATGCAATTTAGACTTATTACATTTGATTTTGACATAGTAATTCACAAACTACAAGATAATGCTAGTCTCTAATAGCAAGTATCAAAAAATAGCAAAAATAAGGTTTACATTTACAAATTTTGTTAACCAATGTTTGTTTTGCAGGTGTCTGAAATATATGAGGTTGTTCCATGTCGAGAGCTTGGGCTGGTCTTAAGGTGTGTATGCTCTACACACTTACTACTTACTATTACTCAGTAACTCATGTGATTGTCCAATCCACATGAATTTCAAGTTACTGCCAAGGGGTGTACCAGTAAAACACTCTTGGAAAGCTATTACATAGACTGTAAAATATTTAGGAAAAAGAACAGATACAGCATTCACATTGGAATGTGCTCATTTCCTCTCAGTATTCCTGTATTTATCAGGAGTGGAAGGTAACGAAGTACAGATGATACAATACTATCACTCAATAATACAATAATTCTATATCTATCTACTTGTCACCATGGAAATGTAATTGCTTTGCCTAGAATGTTTTGTAGTGTAGATCAGACCTATCTATCATGAAAGAGACAAGCAGGCTACAACATGATAGCTCAGATCTGTGGAGAGTCGCAACAGAAACACCTGTAATGAATAAATGCTAGACAGATATATTTAATGTCATACCATGGAATATTCCAGGCAAAGCAAGAACATTTCGATGGAGGTAAGTAAGTAGCGTACCCTCCACCAGAAAAGTTGAGCAGTGCACCTTTAAGTAGAATGTTTAGGTACTGTACTTTACTTAAGTACATTTTACAGTGGAAACTTTTTACTTTTACTTCACTACATTTGAGAGCGAATATCTATACTTTATTTTAGACCAGATATATATACTTTATTTAAGAGCAGATATCTATATGTTTTTTGAGTTCAAGGTTCAGCTTTGAGCAAACAAAGATGAATGCACAAAATTCATGAGAAAAAATAAGAAATTGATTTGTATTGCTACTGTTAACCAAAGTCTGTATTTTTTATCAGTAAAACTACTTTTTAACAAATTAACAACACTTGAAATACATTAAATATTTTTACTTTTTACTCTTAAAGTACATAAACAGGTACTTAAACACTAAATACTTTTTTCATGTGATAGTTTTACCTTTATTTGAGTAACTTTTTACCTCTGTATCTGTATTTTTACTTAAGTAACAACATTGAGTACTTCATCCACCACTGGTATTCATTATGGCTTCCCAAACTTTTTGGGCCCCAAAATAATCATGCAACTGACCAAGGACTCCCACTACAAAATAAAATTGAAAAAAAAAGTTTAATTGAATGGGGTTTTTAGTATTTATCTGAAAAAATATTGTATTAAAGATATTAAAAATCTACCTAAAAATGAAAGACTCATTACAGTTTCATACATTATTCAATCATTAACAATCTGCTCCTTCGACCACCACTAGTGACTTGAACTGTGTCGGTGTCTTGCCGAAAGACACAGCAATCGACTACCCCCGTGTCAATAGATGAGAGGCCTGTAGACTTGTAGTATGTTTCTATCACAGTTGTAGAGCAGTTGTGTTGTGTGTGTGTGTGTCAGGTACCTGCACGGGCGCGTGTTTGTGCTGGAGCTGAGCCCGGGCAGTCAGGCCTATGTGGACAAATTCATCTGTCCAGGAGACATCATCGACGAGATCAACGGCACGTCACTGAGGAACTCCAAGAACGGACAGGTGCACATCTTGGAAATGCCAGTGTGTTAGCCTAGAGACACCACCTGCTTGTCTCCATGGGGTTACTGTTTAGCCTGAAATGTTCCAGGGTTTGGCATTAAACTCATGTACATTCATACATGAGGACAAACCAGTGGGCGAGTTTTTATTAGGCAAGGCAAGGCAAGTTTATTTGTATAGCACAATTCGTACACAAAGTAATTCAAAGTGCTTTACAGAATAAGAAATACATTAACATCATAATAAAAACAAATCAAAACATAAATAATCATGAAGATTAAAATTAAAAAAAGAGAGACATAAATTGGAGAGAAGAGTGCGGAATGAAAACCTTTTAGTTATATGCACAGTTAAACAGAAATGTTTTGAGTCTGGATTTAAACAGCGTCACAGAAGAGCCTGTCTCACATCTTCAGGAAGACTGTTCCAGGTTTTAGCTGCATGAACCTGAAACGCTGACTCCCCTTGTTTAGTCGTGACTCTGGGCACCAGCAGGAGGCCGGTCCCTGAGCTCCTCAGAGTGTGAGATGGTTCATATGACACTAACATGTCACAGATGTACTTTGGTGCTCGGCCATGGAGAGACTTGTACACAAGTAGAGCTGCTTTAAAGTCTATTCTCTGAGGCACAGGAAGCCAGTGCAGAGACCTGAGCACAGGACTTATGTGCTCGTACTTCCTAGTTCGAGTAAGGACCCGAGCTGCAGCGTTCTGGATGTTCTGCAGCGTCTCACAGCTCGTTTGGAGAGACCAGTGAGCAGACCATTACAGTATCTAACCTACTGGAGACAAATGCATGGATAAGTTTCTCCAAGTCTGATTTAGACAGTAAACCTTTGATTTTTGCTATGTTTTTTAGATGGTAAAAGGCTGCAGATGTTATTGATTTGATGTTATTATTACTCATTATAAGCTCATTAGTTATTACTTATTTGTGATTCTAAAGCAATAGTATGTAACAGGCTTGCATCTCCACAAATCCAACTCTAAGATGCTTCCATGAAAATGTTGTCATTTTGGCTATAATATTCACCAGTATAGTACAAACCGTATCTATCTCCATGAAGAATGTTCTGAAATATAGTTTTAACTTTCTGTTTTCATGAAATCATACAGGTGACATGCCACACCCCCTGAAAGTGAAAGTATTAGTGTATGTTGAAAATCTTCTATTGCTATTATTGAACTCTACTTTTATGGGAGGAAAATTTACAAAAAACTTATAATATTAAAGGGGCACTATGTAACTTTTTGGTTGAGGGTCTGTCACCTGCTCGTTTCTACGGATATGTCATTGCTTTGCCTTGAATGTTCCACAGTACACAACCTTACAATTATTCAGTCACAGGTGGTTTTACAGCTCAAAAATACTTTGAAATAAAGGGATACCGGCTGTGAGCAGGATCGCCTCTCCACAGATCTGACCTGTAACTGTCTGGTTTGGTCTCCATGAAGATATAACGGTTTAATGTCACACTGTGAAGCATTCCAGACAAAACAATAACAGCTCCATAGAAATAAGCATTTGACGGATCCTCCACCAGAAAAGTTACACAATGGACCTTTAAAACGTACTATACTGTACGCTAGTTACTAGGGATGTAACAATAACCGAAATGTCATGATATCATATTGTCAAAAGGCTCACAATAATATCATGGGCTGTCACAATATATCAAATTACAAGTTCCTTTGCTTAAATGCATGGTTTTATAGAAGCAACAGCTTATAAACATAGGGAACTACATATCCAATGATTCATTTCAGTGCAGACAACATGAAGAAATATGTTTTTTACTTGAATTCTTGGGATTATGATGGAAATAATTCACACCAAAATCTTCTGTTTTTAATTTTAAAAACGAAAAAGTTTCCTATCTACAATTATATTTGCCTCTTCAAAATATCGCAATATATATCGTACCGTGAGATGCATATCATGATAATGTCGGATCAAGAGATTTGGATATCGTATATTGTAAAACATTTTCCACATACCACATACTAATCAATTAATGACTGATTACTTTTCTTATCAAAAACAAATTAAAAGGACATTTTATATGTCCTAAACCTGAATCAGCCTTTTAATGATCACCTCTGAACATAAAACAGAGTCCAGTTTCTTCCACCAAAGTCTGAACCGCATGCTCTTACTGCAGTCACTGATGAGTGGAAATGACAGAACATTACAATCTGATTAATTGCGCAGGACTAATTAACACTATGCCCACTGTTTGGCGTGCAGGCCGGTGTGGTGCTGTCTCGTTTGAAAGGCGTCCCTCTGTCCATCCGGGTGGTGCGCTGGCAGCAGGAGGACGGGACAGTGTACCGACCTCTCATTAAACTCCTGAGGGCTCTGAGGACAGACAACCCTGGTCTACAGCTCACCCCGGCCCCCTCACACCTCTCAGCCCACAGCAAGGAGCAGAGAGCCTCCTCATCATCATCACAATGCTTCAAAGATGGAAGGTATAGAAAATGTCTACCTCACTATATACTTTGTGTATTATCAAAATATTTAGAGGGCAGGGGCAAATATTACTTTATAAGTGCAGACTGAGTGAAGACACCAAACTGGAAATCCGCAAATAATATTAGGGCTGGATGATAGTAACAAAATTAAAATGTAAATTAAAAAAATTTAAACTTTCAGTATTAATTTTCTGAACATGAACCTCAGAAACACAATATCAATTGCTGTTTAAAACCAGAAATAGACAGAAAATCTCATGAGACAAAAGATCACACTAGTAGAATGGAAACAAAACTATGAAATCAAATAAATAAAAAATTGTGAGGCCAAAATTGAGAACTGAATCGTGAAATGTATATATTAGAAACTATGTTAAAATCTCGTCTTGTTCTCGTGAACCCAGTCTTCTCGTCTTGTGTCTCGGCCCATTGCTATTGACCATTAGAAATGACTCAAACTTGATCTTGATTTAAATTGAATTAATTGTACAACAGCCCTGATTAAAATCTAATTTTTTTTTTAATTCTCCCAAAATCATAATAAATTTTTGTACTTTTGGTATAAAAAACTGTGCTAAAATGTCGCTTAAGTCTTGGTTGAGGTGTAAATGTCCTATAGAAAGTGAATAGGCTGTCAAATAATTTTTATTTATTTATTTGTTTGTTTCATTCATAAAGTATAAAAATACATTAACAGTGTCCTAACATTAAACATACAAGAAATGGATGAAAATGAGCAGAAAGAAGAGTCATCTTATGTCATCTGCCTCCCCTTCCCTTTTCCAGACAATACAGTCCCTGACAAAAGTCTTGTCGCTTATCCATTTTGTAGAAACAAAAGCTTATAACATGACTTTAAATTAATCGATTGGTTTTAGAAATGTCTCATATGAAAGCTAAAACCCTCCCAAATTATGCTCAATATACTAAAATAAATTAGCTTCACTGAAGAAAGATTGATCATTTAAAGAACACAGAAAGGTCAGATTTTGGCAAGACAAAAGTTTTGTCGCCTACAGAAAACTGAACAAATAATTTACTTCAAATACAAAAATATGTTGCATAACATCAGTGAATTAAGTAGTGGTGCTGTGAGATCCATATTTAATATCTTGTATGACTTCCATGAGCTTGAAGGACGCATCCATGCGGTTCGACAATGATTCATACAATTAGTTGATGAAGTCATCAGGAATAGCAAAGAAAGCGTCTTACATGCCTCCCAGAGTTCATCAAGATTCTTTGGTTTTGCCTTCCATGCTTCCTCTTTCATTCTACCCCAGACATGCTCAATGACGTTCATGTCTGGTGACTGGGCTGGCCAGTCCTTGAGCACCTTGATCTTCTTCACCTTGAGAAACTTTGATGTAGAGATAGAAGTATACGATGGAGCACCATCCTGCTGCAAAATTTGACCCCTTTTATGGTTGGGAATGTAAGAGGTAGCTAATACTTCTTGATATTTTAGGCTATTGATATTGCCTTCCACCCTGCAAATGTCTCACACACCCCCATACTGGATGTAACCCCAGGCCATGATTTTTCCACCACCAAACTTAACTGTTTTCTGGGTGAATCTTGGATCCATGCGGGCTCCAGTAGGTCTCCTGCAATATTTGCGGCGGCTGTGATGTAATTCAACCGAGGATTCATCTGAGAAATCCACCTTCTGCCACTTTTCCAGTGTCCATCCTTTTAGCAGGCTGTGGGCCTTGGCAAATGTCACATGGTTTTTTAATTGCCTTTTGTTTAGTGCTGGTTTCTGTGCACTGATTTGACCATGGAGGCCATCTCGAGACAGAATTCTACAAACTGTTCTGGTTGACACAGGGATTTGAGGTGACCAGGCCTGGTGGAGTCTGCTGCAGTGGAAAAGGGGCCTTGGATTTTTGAATCAACAAACGGTCCTCCCGAGCAGTTGTCTTGCGGGGTCTGCCGGACCTGGGCTTGTCAAAAACATCTCCAGTCATTTCAGATCTTTTTCTTATTCTTTGTACTTGACGCTGAGACACATTGAAGGTGTCAGCCACCTCAGCAGTGGATCTGGTCTTCAGCCTCTTGATAATTAACGCTTTGGTCTCAGGGTGGATCTTAGGCATGTTGTCAGAGGTCAAGTTGCAGTTGATGTGAAGGTCTGGTGTGCTGGGGTTCTTTTTATACACTCCCACTAATTGATTGATCAGTAACTGATCACAGGTGAAGCTGTAATCTAGGATTGGGTGCATCATATGACAAGGCGACAAGACTTTTGTCTTGCCAAAATCTGACCTTTCTGTGTTCATTAAATGATCAATCTTTCTTTAGTGAAGCAAATTTATTTTAGTATATTGAGCATAATTTGGGAGGGTTTTAGCTTTCATATGAGACATTTCTAAAACCAATCAATTAATTAAAAGTCAGGTTATAAGCTTTTGTTTCTACAAAATGGATAAGCGACAAGACTTTTGTCAGGGACTGTAGACTCTATTTACGCTTACATCACAAACCAGGACGTTTAGCAGCCGCAATGGAACTACAACATTTCAAATCAATAAATTTCATTTTAATTACAAATATTAATCAATTGCAAACAGAAATCTTCACTTTTATAAAACAAATTATAAAATTAACCACATAAATGCCCAGTTTTCTATTCTTAATCTTGTGGCTCAAATTCTTGTTAACTGGTATGACTGAATAATACAATATTTAGATCAGGGGTGCTCACACTTTTTCAGCATGTTACAAAATGACCAAGTCATAAAGATCTACCTAATACAAAGTCAAGCAAACTGTACTGAAACACTCTGTGCCCCTTTTTTGGACCCTCACCCACAGTCTGAGAACCCCTTCTTTAAGAGAACTTCCTCTGACACTTTACACAAAACTGTGAAAAAAGTGAAGGAAATAGGTAAGATTTTTAAACCTGTTCTTTAAAGTTCCAAACTGGAGTTGCATTCTTTTCTGGTTTTGCAGTGACATTTACCAGCCTCTGCACATTTACCAAACCAAACGCACATCGTGACAAACACAGATGCATTTGTGCACTTTTGTTAGGCAAACTTCAGCCAAATGTGGCAGTAGGTCTGTTCTGTAGATCTGCTCTATGCTGTAGACCTGCTTTGTGCCAACACTGGAACACAAATTTAGACTCGTTTTTGCTTTTCGTTTGGTCTTGTTCATCTAATCAGCCGCACTGTGGAAGGGGCTTGTGTTCGCTGTACGCAGGAAGGAGCGAGAGCATGAAAAGGCGAGGGGCGGCGTGCTGACGTGAGGCAGATGGACAGGTAGAATGTTTAGGAAGTTGAACCTGTTCTGTGGTGCACGCTGGTACACGAGGGCACACGCTGTTGCAGACGAGCCGTGCATAGGGAGCGTGTGTATTTGTGATGTGCCGTAGAGTCTCCGCGGGTTTCAAATGAGCGCACAGGCTGCACTGGGACGCCCCACATGCTCCTGCACCCTGCTACAAGTTTATTGCCAACAGCAGCGGCCGTAATGAAATATGATTGCACTTGTTGAGTGTCAGACCTCGAGTGAGAGACAAGACCGAGTCCAGACGCGAGTCCGAGACGAGACACGGCGATCTACCCACATGACCTTGGCGATCGACTGGTAGATCGCGATCGACGTATTGAGCACCCCTGATTTAGATGCTATAGAAGGGTGACCAGATTTAAAAAAAAAAAAAAAAAAAAAAAAAAACTGCTTTGGTGATTTTTAAGCAGGTTTTCTGTATTTTACCTAATCAAATAACAATGTATTTTTTTTGTATAAAACTGGGACAAATCACTGGTTTTGAATAAATCTGCTGGGACAGGGGACAAAGGGCCCAAAACATCTGGATGTCTGGTTACCCTATGCTATTGTGAAATATGTTTTGTGGCAGTGTATCTGTGACATACATTGAACATATCAGTAGTTTATGATTCATTCTGACCTTGATTTTAACTACATTCCAAAATGTTATTGCATCACATGAACCCATTTTGACCTGTAAAATTCTTCTTTAGGATTGTTTACATTGTGCAGTACCTGGGCAAAGCTAACATAGGAATGGTAAATATAATTAGGCTATAATTACAATACTTAGAATAACATATCCCTTTTTGAATTTAACTTTTTATTATTATTGCAATGTGATCTGTTTACATAGTTCGGAGGCAAAGAGGTGTTGCAGCACGCTATTCCGCAGGTTTTACACAAGAACCTGCCGAGCAAGGTAGTGAAAACAACAAATATTAGCTATTAGCAATTTCAAATGTATGGTAAAGCTAATTCTAATTAATATTTGCATACTACAGGAAGTGCTACTGGATCTGAAGGAAACGCATTTGACATGTACAGACAAAAACACTAAAACAGTAAGTATGGGTTGGGAACTGAGGGTTATCTTATGATGCTCTTGCAAACCTGGGTTATGTTTTTATCACATCCTATAGGAGGAGTTTGAGCATCACTATCCAGAGATTTCCTGTGTGGGGAGATACAGCAAACCAGATTACACGACTTTTGCCTTCTGTGTGGCGTAAGTATAAAAAATTGTCATGGTATTGCATGCTATAAAGGTCATATATTATAGAAAATAGATTCTTGTGAGCTTCATGTCATGTTAGAATGTTGTTACCTCATCAAAAACAGACCTAGAGTTGCCTTTTGTTTCATTCACATGTTTGAGTAACCCTTTATTATTAGTCTGTCTGCATATCCAAAGCTCTAAATGCTCTGTTCCACCTTGTGTTGTGAAGTTAACAGCTCCTTTTACCTTTTGTGCAGTAGAAATGTGCAATTCCAGGGCTGAAATAATTTTGCTTCCTGGTTTGAAATTGAGATCACACCATAGACTGTATACACAGGGTGTCCCAAAAGATTTGAAATAATTACCTCCGCCAAGGAGGTTATGTTTTTGCCGGCGTTTGTCTGCTTGTTTGTTTGTTTGTTTGTTTGTCTGTTAGCAACATAACTCAAAAAGTTATGGACCGATTTTGATGAAATTTTCAGGATTTTTTGGAAATGTGAAAAGGAAGAACTGATTTCATTTTGGGGGTGATCCGGAAGAAATCCTGGATTCTGGATCACTTTGAAATTTTAGTTAACATTGTGGTAAATGGGGCCAAAACTTTTGTTTCTCAATATCTCGGTTAATTATTGACCAAACCCCATGAAATTTGACTCAGGGATGGACAATGGGATCCTCTTTCATATTCCAAATTGAAAGATACGAGATATATATTTATGGAAAACACAATTAATATGAGGGGGACTGTAGTCCTTGGCGGAGGTCTGCGCTCTCTGAGTGCTTTTCTAAATTTAAAAGCAATCATCTTGAAAACCACCAAGTCTTATATTATATGATTATTATGGGACTTTGTTTGCCAGTTGTTGAAGTTTTTCCAAATGTTGCACTGAAGCTGCACAGTCTTGGGTGACTGTGTGCGAGCAGAATCCAAGACGCAAAATGACTTCTCTTTGGCAACAGCTCAACCTGAAAACAGAACAAAAATAAAACATTAAATATAAAATCTTGATCTGTTTCTATACATTGTGTTTTAGGTTATTTCAACAAGAATTGCCAAAATTATTGGCCTGCGAAATGGTGTCAAATTTTTTGGGACACCCTGCATATTAATAGACAGTAAACCCGCTAGCTGCCACATTTAAAATAGGATGTTCGCAGGCGGGCACTCCTGACCCGGGCTCTCATTGACTTACATTGGAATATTGTGCCCCCTCTCTATGTCACTGCTGCTGTGAGCCCCGTCATTTTGGCCTTAATATGCTTGTATTAAGCCGCTCATCCTGGTGTTTTTATTTTGCAGTTTTGTCTGAAACCGTTGGCATCACAAATTTCATTTGAGGGGCACCAAATACTTTGGGTGACATCACACTCATTTAGTCCACTTCTTTATACAGTCTATCCATCACACTATAGAATTCCATAACTGTTACCTAGCAAAACTCCTCTAATGTACAAGGAAATATTATCTGACAAAAACAAATATATGATAACACCTTTATTTTGTTGCAATCATGTTTAAAATATTAGAAGAAAAAAAAGTTCTTACATGTAAATTGTTTCGAACTTTTGGACACAGTTCTCCCCAGTGAGATGTCAACATATTTTTCCACTTTTCTTTGAATTCTGAATTCTTTCTTCAAATTGCTTCTTGATTGCTGTAAAACTATAATTTATATTCACAATAGTTTTAATCCCACCAAATTAAGTCAAAATTAGAGAATAATAAAAATATGTCATCTGCACTTTAAACTTTTGACAATGAAAAGACTCCTACCACCTTGCCTATGTGTGCATGTGTGTGTTCAGTTTTGTGTTGAATACTGAATATCTGATGTAATTTCTAACATACTGTTCAAGATCAAATCAGAGTACTGTATTCTGAATACTTAGAATACTTTCACATTAGTGCTGCAAGGATGAATTGATGCAATTAGCAAATCACAAAGGCTACAGTTTTTGATGTAGACCTACAATAATTTCCTCCATAAAGAACAAAATCTCCTGTTTTATAAAATATATATAAAAAAAGTGCTAACCTTGTAGTTTAGATCTGTACAAACATATTTAATCTTTTTGTCAAATTTTCTCATAAAAAGTACAATAGATGAGTCTTCTGAACGTGTTTAAAATGTGAACTTTGAACAGAATCCTATTATTAAAACATAAATTGCAACTGTAACCACAATCGCAGTAGACCTACTTGTCAAATAGAAACAACGCATTAAGATATTTTTCTCAAATCGTTCAGCCCTATTTCACATCGAGTTAGCTGCATTGTAACAGCTTAATGTTTGTTTCACTGTTTACTGAAGGAAAAAAAACACAAGAGCTGGATTTTCTGTTTTTCTTCCTAACACAGAGTGCATTTTGAAACCTAAATTGCGTGATATATTCCAGAAATTTTAGGAAAGTCATAGTATTCTGAAGAGTAACTATACTGGAAAACACTTGCTCAAAATGTATACTCTGAATAGGGTGGTCAAAAGTACTGAAAATTAGATAAACCTTCTAATCAATACTAAAACTAATATCAAAACTAGATATTTGAAGAAAATAATATATTGTGAATTGTGAAAAAACACATCAACAGAACAAAATTTGTATTTGTGTAGTATGAGTTTGAGCAGTAGCAATAATTATTAGCCCTCATGGTACTATGTTATGCTGAAAATTACATTATATTGCTAAAACACAGCATTTGTAATCTTCATTGAGATAAACATAATTTATATCAAGTCAGTTCCTTAGTGTTGAAATAGAATTTGAAATTTGAATGTCATGACCACATTAATTCTGAATACATTACAATTTTTCTTGTGCTTAAGTCTAATGCTTAAGTTAAGAGTTGTTGCACAGCTCTTAACTTTTTAAATCTTGTTTAACATTTGATCCAGAGCTCTCTATAGTGGATGCACAACCACAAGAGCTCATCTTCTAAGAGGTCCCTATAACAAGTTCATTATTAGAATTATACACACAGCGTGATCATGAACAGAACTATGTGGTGTAAACACAATGGAACAGTGAGCAGGGCTTTGGTCACTTTAACACCTCCAAGCATGTGTGATGTCAGAGTAGCTCTAGTACACGATTGGCTGAAGCAGGTGTCCTCTTAACGTGATTGGCTCTTTCCACAGAGACTCCCCAGAAACCCCTCACTCCACTGGGTTCTGCTGCGTGGTGCTCAAGGCAAGCTCCATCAAAGAGTGTGAAGACATAGTCTGCCGTATAGGTAGGTCACATTATGAAAATTAATATTAGCATCGCTCCAGTTGTGTGCTCATTTGTGTGTCTGTGTTACAGCTACTGGCTTTAAGCACACTGAATGGTTTGTATAACATTACTGTATTTTAAATGGTGTAAATAAATGTTATTAAAAAAAAAATAATAAATTAAAAAAAAAAAAATAAAATGCATTGAAGTTTAACAACACACAAAAGCTTTCTACTGAAGACCTTTAATAGAAAGACATGTGACAACATTTCATAAATAGTATTAAATGTAGCTGCCAAAATTTGTGTTGGAAACATGTAAAAAGCAGTCCAGAAAAGATCAGTAGGGGTCACTCATGCTCAGTCACTGAATGCAGGGCACCGCTTGAGAGCCTGTAACCCAGACAATGCAATGAGATCTTGTGAGAGGACATGCTGGCATCAGGAGACAGACCCCATGGAAGATGAGAATTTTGCTTCAATGTCTTAACAGCCATCAGCGCAAGGACAGGTAGCCCCTGGCTACTTTAAGTGGGAGGTGAAGTGATGGGATGACCCACGGTGAAATAGGTACAGAAATTCCTACTGCACAACACTTCCAACTAGCTTTTTTACTCAAACTTGTGGAATGGCTGATGTAGTATCAATCTAAAATTACATTACAAAAGTCAACTTATAAAAAAATACCCAAAAAAATAATGTCCACAAAAATGGTTAAGTACGATAAATATGGTAATTTGTGTGGGTGTTGTCACTAGCCCCTTAGGCCCTCTCGCCCCTTATCCTGCGGGCCAGCTGGATGTCTTTGGGCATGATGGTCACCCTCTTGGCGTGGATGGCGCACAGGTTGGTGTCCTCAAACAGACCCACCAGATAAGCCTCACTGGCCTCCTGTTGACATAAGAAAACATGTTTGATACAACTCCTCCATCTTAAAAAAAGTTACTAGTCTTCTATATGAACATTGACATACCTGAAGAGCACCAATGGCTGCGCTCTGGAAGCGCAGGTCGGTCTTGAAGTCCTGGGCGATCTCCCTGACCAGGCGCTGGAAGGGCAACTTGCGGATGAGCAGCTCAGTGGACTTCTGGTAACGACGGATTTCTCTCAGAGCCACAGTTCCTGGCCTGGAAAATATATACAAGACGCAGGCTTATTAAGCAAAAGTTTTAAAAACAAAAAAGAAAAGCCATGTGGCACATTAATGTAATGCAGCATGCAAACTCACCTGTAACGATGTGGCTTCTTCACTCCGCCAGTGGATGGCGCACTCTTCCTGGCTGCCTTGGTAGCGAGCTGCTTCCTTGGCGCCTTACCTCCAGTGGATTTACGGGCGGTCTGCTTGGTACGGGCCATTTTACACTTTCTGGAAAAGAGGGCAAAAATTAATATAACCAGTATAGAAAAGATCCGGGCTTGCACGCAGCGCCTTGGTAGAGTTCCATTGCGGCTGCTAAGTTAGCCCATAGGTTAGCCTAGTCTAGCCCGGTCCGTCTGACACGGCTCCCCTCCCCCAGCCCTGCGCGCTCTATGGGAGGCGTCTGGCTCGCTCCGGTGCGCCTTTTTTCCGTCGGAGTTGGAGCCAAACATACTTAAACACAAAGCGAAACCAGATCACAGGAGTTACGAGTCTTATGAGTAACAATATCACATGTGAGCAGCTCTCCGTAAGACCACTGCGCCGCCACAGCGCGTGATAACACGCACACCGTCGATATGGAGCAGGCGGTATTATTGTAGGCCACAACAAGCCTCTGCTGCTTCTCGCCTTCGCCATTTTTAATCGGTTCACCCCCAAGCGACATTGCCTCGACTCAAACACACGAGATTGTAAACAAAAACACACCCCACTACTCTAGATTTTTAAAAATTGAGTCTTTAGCGTAATCCGAAGTTAACGGATGTAAAAATATGTCAAAGTGGCTTTGTTTGAGTTTAATGAGCGAGAAACCTACAACGAAAAGATCTTCTATTGTCCAGTTTAGCCGGTTTAAAGCGACACCAATTCTGTCACATCGGGCAAAATGACCAACATGTAATCCTATAGAGTTAAAAGTAAGACTCAAAATGAAGATAAAACATTTGCGAGAATAAATTATTTACCTTTAGGACACAAGGTAGAGGAGAGAAAACGCGACGGCGGAAGGAGGACGAACGTATTGCGTGAGGAGAGCTATGGCTCCGTATTTATCCACTCCACTGACGTCATTCTCACCCCTCAATGGTCATTTTTCTTGAATGACATATGTTTTAGCCAATAGGATCTCGCAAACCAATTAAAGAAAAAATTTGAATGTTTGAAGACGTTGATTTTATGTGTAATACTTTAAAATACGTTATTTTAATAGATCTATGGTAATACGCTGTGGGATATGATATGTAGCATTGTAACAGTACCGCTTTTGGCACACGCAGTGTATTAATGAAGTACGAATGTTAAAATGTTGTAACAAACTCCACAGTTCCGTATGGTCCCATGCTCACTACGTCCTCATGTCTAAGCATAACATTGAATTTCAATTTTATATCTTTAAAATTAACGATGGGTTTTAATTTCATGTGCGTGTTATTTTGTGCGTATTATGTTTCTTCCTCAATAAAAAACAACTGATGCAACACAAATGCTTCAAAAATTCATTTTATTATTTTAATTTATTTACTTTATTTGTTGGTTTTATTTATTACAAATGCCTTAAACTATATTTGAAATTTGGAGAGAGAAAAAAAAAATCAAATCATCAAAAAATTAGTTTCTGTTAGAAATGAGTATGTGATATTTTTCCCATTTCCGTTATTTGTAGTATAGTAGTATTAGTAGTATTTAGGACTGTAATGTGAATTTTCCCCTGTCCGTTTGACCTACAATAAAATCGATGATAAATTCTACAATAAGCGTAGAACTATAATAAAACGTTTTTATTATAGATCCATGGTTTGAAGTTAAAGGAAAAAATAAAAAAGCACTTCCTCCCGTTCTGCGCATGCCCACATCGTAGTAGAATGCGGATTGCAAAGCTAACAAGAATAGCTAGCTACCAAGCTAAAAACAAGGTTATAGTGGTTCCACTTTAAACACAGAAAATGTCCAAAACACACACACAGCCCTCATCGTCTTCGGCAGCAACGACCACCGGAGGAGCGTCCACCTCCTCCTCGCCTTCGCCCGCCGGGGGCTCGACATCTCCCGCCACCGTGTTGAACGTACAGCCCGAGAAACCTCAACATTACACGTATGTAGCCTGTTAGCTGCCTAGGCTAGCGAAACGTACACAATCTCACGTGTGCTCCGATTTACCGTTTGATCGTTATCTTTGGGTCTCAAAATAGTGTGTGCGAATCTGAGATATTATCTACAAAGCGACTGAAGTGTGCTAATGTGGCTGGGGATGTAAACAATGCACTGATCGGGGATAAAGAGGCCTACGGTACCACTGCAAGACATTCCTTTATATCTACCTAAACAAAGGCATAGTTACTCTTTTATCTTGTTCATAATATTAATAAGTGCAAAGTTATGAATAAGTTTGCAGTGAAGTGGCTGCGTTTTGTGCTCTCTGTGTCTGTAAAAAAGCATGTAAAACACTACATAGCTGCACTGTTGTTTACTTTTGGCAGAGGTCGATAAAAGCACATAACAGAGCAGTAAACATTACAATATGAGTAGTATTTGTCAAGTTCGACATTCTTATTCATAGTTAAGTGACAAAACGAGCAGATATAATAGTAGGGTTGAACCATGATTTGCTATGTATGTTTTACTAACGTGATTCTGGTCAAAGTTTAGAATTAGACTTAGACTTAGACAAACTTTACTGTCCACAAGGGAAATTATTTGGATACAATAGTTCACATATCACAATATAATGTAATAACAAAGAGAAAAAATATAAATGGTAATAATAAATTCTAAATAAGTAGCAAAAAAGATAGCAAGAGACAGGTGTCAAAATAATTATAATAAATAAATAAACATAATTATATAAATATATATGTTAGGGCTGTGCAATTAATTGAATTTAGATCGCGATTTCAATTTGTGTGTCAAACGATCTCCAAACTGCTGAAAGCTGAAACTTTTTATTTTGGGAATTTTTTTATATGAATAAGTATATTTATTTTATTTTTTAAATATAGAGACTGTATAACAGTTGGATATATAGATACATTTATGTTTTTCTATGCTTTATTCCATATTCAAAGTATATTTTATTCATTTTATGTTTTATACTTCTCAAAACTGCTCTAAGGTACAGATTTGCAACCTATATATATTTTCAGTTTGAAAGTTTTGCGTAAATTATCAGTAACAAAGTGGGGGGGGGGTTTGAGCGAGATATGCTGAATAAATGCATTATGTAACTAAAAAATATATCGTTTGAATAATCATGATTTCAATATTGACCAAAATAATCATGATAATGTTTTTTTTTAGACTATAGAGCAACCTTAGTATATGTACATTTTAAAAGCGTTCAGAAGAACTAAATCCCATTACAGAACATGTTTGCACAGATTTAAACTACTGGGTTAGTTTTATATGCAGAATAACAAGTCATATTTTGTTTCTTCTGGAGGAAATTGTGGGACTTGAAAACTTGCAGCATTTGTGATTTGCCACTTCAAGTAATTCAAATCCATCGATGATTCCTGCTGCCCTGGATAATTGTATTGTTTTGTTTTGCAGATATCTAAAGGAGTTCCGGACGGAGCAGTGCCCTCTGTTTGTCCAACACAAGTGTACACAGCATAGGCCCTTCTCCTGTTTCCACTGGCACTTTCTGAACCAGAGGAGGAGAAGACCTATGAGGAGGAGAGATGGAACCTTCAACTACAGCCCAGATGTATACTGTACCAAATATGACGAGGGCTCCGGCACTTGTCCAGATGGAGATGAGTGAGTGGAGGAGTGCTGTTTTACCATCATTAATGTGCTGTCTTTTCTGATATACATATATATATACACTAACAGGAACACTAGGGTTGGGGAAAGGAGTCAAAGTAAAAGTAAGACCATATAGAACAATAACAAATTAGTAATGAATGTTTGCAATATTGACAAAAATCATTAGACCAATATTTTTTTTTCTCCCGGTGACAGTAATTGTAGTATACTAAAGCATGCAAAT